TGGCTTTCAATTATCAGCTTTCATATTTTTATGCCTCAATTAACCTCAAACAACAACATTCGCTTTTATTGCCACATAATTCAAAGGCTTAATTACCCTAATACAAGCTTAAAACTCTTCAAAGCTCAAGTTAAAAATTCAGGATGTTTCAGCACATGCTTGTCGCATAGTATTTTATGCAAATTCTTCAATCTAGACTCCACATAGGCCCTGTACATCATCTTGGACTCTTCTTCAGCACACTAAATCATGCCATGATAGCTTTGTGGTGCCCTATTATGTGTCATGTCTAGCTTGACATCTATAATAGTCCATGTCATCGTTTAAGAAATGATCCATGTTCTCCTTTGTGTAAGTATTTTGAAGCTATAAATTCTTTGAACATTTTGAAGGGCTTGTTGGGCCTCTAACTAGAGGAATACTTTTTGGGTTTTAGGACCTCTATATTGAACACTTCCTAGTATGCTATCACCTTCCTTGTTTAACCTAATATAGGCTCAGGATGAATTATCCTTGAGGAGGGAATATCCTTGCATGTGATTCATGTACTTGTGAGAATGCAATAGATGAAAATAAAGGAGATCAAGTGATGAATTTCCTTTATAACCATTTGAGGAGAAGTGTTTCGTCCTTGATGAATATTTGATTCCTTTTCCTCCTAATGATATAATGATTTGCTAGTGAAAATGCAATATAATGATGTGCTTTATTATTTCTTGTAGACCATCTTGATGCATTTTTTTGTCGGTGTCCTTGAGCCAAGACTTAAAATCCTGAATTTGGTTAAAGTTAAGTTTAATAGATAATCCTGCAAAGCAACTTCACCTTACAAAAGAACATGTAACAAAGATGTAAGTAGACTTCATTTCATGAAAACCAAATGTACATCGATTGGAATTGGCCAGATCATGCTTTTGAAGGTGTGACTAGCAAAGAGAGCATTGTTTAGAAGCTTCCATATAAACAAAAAAACATGTAAAAGTCAAAGAAACTGACCATATGAATTTCCATGAACTCTTTGTGGATATTGATTGATAGATTTGCCTGAAAATCTTATATCCATTCTTAATCATGTAATCACTTGAATAGCTTTTAGTTTTAGTTTTTGGGAGTTGTGACTAACTCCAAGTACTTAGTTTCAAATTTAGTTTAAATGACACGTGGATTTAGATGATACTCCTCCAATCCTAAATATAATACCCATTTTGTAATGTAAATTACATTACAAAATAAGTCTTATCTTTAAGACTGGATGAGTGCTTTTGACTATTAAGGGCTAAGCCCTTGTTTTGAAAAGACCTGATAGAAACAAGTGATTAAATGTTTTAGTGTATGTTTGGGATGGCATTAACAAGTTTCAGAAGTCAATTGAGATTAAAAAAAAAAAAAAGGGAAGAAGCAAATTGGATTATAAAAAATATGCTTGACATCGTTTTGAGAGCAATTGCCTTTTTGTCCAAACATCATTTTAAAGTTAAAGCAAGTCTTTCTAGCTTCTGTTTTTTTTTTTTTAATTTTGTCTTAAAATTTTTGAATATTTTAAAATTATTTTTTAATTTATTATCCAAAGAATTTTATACCAAACTGACTTTTTTATAAAAGCCTATTCAAACATAAATTACTCTATATTAATGGATTTTTTTTACCCCAAATTCAGTTTGCAAAAGTGACTAGAGATAAAAGTTATTACTTTTATTAATGTTAATCTAAACAAATAATTAGCTATTTGGTATGTTGTGAAGAGTTGTTGGGCTAAGCCCATATTTATATATTTTCCTGTTAAATTGAGATGTTGAAATTTATTAGTTATTATATTGGATTTTTGTCTAGGCTTATGGATTGCTGATTTGTCGTTTGGGCGTCAAAGGGCCCTAAGTCCCCACAATGTTTTAAGTTTTTGTTTGTCATGTATACAAGCATAGTATGTTTCATCTGATCAAACCTAGAGATACTTCCGCTAAACCTAAACTCGTCGAGTTACTAATTATTGTTCTAATCACAGCCATAGAAATCAAAAACAGTTTAAATTTTTTTTAAAAAAGAAAAATGCATGACTCTAAAGTCAAAAAGTCCCTTATATAATGCTTTTTTATCGTTCCCTTGTGCTCACATCCCTTTGTTTTAGTTATGAAGAAAAGATTCCGTTTGTTTTGAATAATGGTCCCATCTCTAGTAAAATAAATAAACAGAATAAAAGAGAACCTGCCAATAAGAATTTATCCGGTTGTTAAAGAGTCAACTCATGTCCATGTAAAGGCCGTTTTGATAAGTGATCTGTAAGCATCTTTGTAAATACCTTATTAGTAGGTGATTCGTAACTACTTTTATAAATGCTATTTAAACTTAAAAATATGTCCTGATTTTAATAAGTTTTCAAAACATAACTCACCTGGACTCTTTAGAATCAAAGAATGAAAGAGAAGCCAAAAGCGGTTGCACACAATGGATGCAATAAAGTCCAAAGACCCCTGGTTATCAAAAGTGGAAAAGCAAAATTTGGGAGGAAAAAATATCACGGCAAACCTGTATGTATATTTTCCTTTAATGAAACCAGCCCTCTATAGTCCATACTTTTTGATGAACTACAGTCCATGCTATAATTGTATTTTGTTTTCGATGCTGATGATAATTTATTTTCACGATTTATTATTTAGTTTTTTTATTTAGAAACATATACCCAAAAAAAAAGAAGAAGTTGGCCTAACCTAGATCATGTTGATTTTGCTAAGGTGGATTTAGCAGCGTTAAGTTTTTCAGATGACTAGGTTAAAATATGCTGACCTTAGAAAAATTATAAATCCTTCAATTAAAAATTTTTCCAGATTGAAAAAAAAAAACAGAGAAAAAAGAATTTCACTTCCCTACAAAACACACATTAGAGGGATAAGGACCTTAGAGAAGCATTAGAATATTGAATCTTAGCAAAATAAACTAAATAAACTACCTATGTAAATTATTACCTCATTAATATAAAAATTAGATAATTAATTTATAAATATTAAAAAAATTAATAAATTTAATTATTTATAATAAATGAGTATTGTCTTCTCAAAATATTATTACTAATTATATGAATTGGAATTATCTTTGATTAAAACTTTTTATCTAATCATTGTAAGAGTTAATTGAAGGCAAAATAACTAAATATTGTAATAACACTTGGTCCTTAAAGCGAAGATCTAATTTCCTTTATATATATCTGGTATATGTTAAAGCACGCATCCTCCGCTTCATTCTTATGGCGTCTCTGAAAATACAAGAGCTCTGCAGAATTGCTCCGCCACCATCTTCACCGAAGTCCTCCTTCTCTCTCACCTTCTTCGACTTGCTTTGGCTCAGACTCTTCTTCTTCTCTCTTCCTCACTTAAGCCCTTCTTCCTTCTTCGATTCCATCGTTCCAAAGCTCAAACGCTCCCTCTCTCTCACTCTGCAACACTTCCTTCCTCTCGCTGGAAACATCGTTTGGCCCTCCGATTCACCCAAACCCATCGTTCAATACACTCCTGGATATGCCGTCTCTCTCGCCATGGCCGTTTCCGATTCTGATTTCAACCATGTCTTGAACAAATCCCCTCGTGACGCCTCACAATCTCGTGCTTTTGTTCCCAACTTGGATTCTTCTGATTCATTCGCTTCTGTTCTTTCACTGCAGATCACTCTGTTTCCCAATAGTGAATTTTGCATAGGCATGAGTTCGCACCATGCTTGTTTAGATGGTAAGTCAGCGACTATGTTCATGAAGGCCTGGGCTTATCTATGTCGAACAGAAGCAGAGAACGAATCTTCTGGTTTTCTTCCTCAAGAACTACAACCATTCACAGAAAGAGAAGTTATCATCGATCCATGTGGCATTGACATTACATACATTAATGGGTGGTCAGGTTTAGATCCCACTCATCAGGCTCAGAAGAGCCAGCCATTGAGCTTGAAGATTCTCTACGACGTGTTCCCGCTTTTAGTGGACCACTCTGCTCGAGCCATATTCGAGCTCAAACGCTGGGATATAAACAAGATAAAAGAAAGGGTTTTGCAGAAATGGGAAAATTCCGAGACCAAAGAAGAAAAAGAAGACTCAACACTTTCAAAGCCTCAAAATTTATCAACCTTCGTCCTTACAACTTCTTATGTTCTGGTTTGCCTTGCCAAGGCCGTTGAAACAACTGGCGAAAACAAGAGAAGGAAACTGTTATTCTGCTTCCCAGCTGATTGTAGGGCCAGATTAGAGCCTCCAATCCCCGAAACCTACTTTGGTAATTGTGTGATGCCTCAGATACTTGAAATACAGCCAGAAAACATAAAAGATGAGGATGGGTTAGTCATGCTTGCCAAGAAAATACACAGAAAGATAAAGAAAATACAGAAAGAGAAAGGGGCGCTTGATGGAGCAGAGACACTGTCTTCTGGGTATTCTTTGCAATCTGCAGAAGGAATCGAAGTTCAGTACATAGCAGTAGCCGGGTCGACCCGGTTCGGGGTTTACGAGACTGATTTTGGGTGGGTAAGGCCTGAGAAGGTGGAGACAGTTTCAGTTGACAGAGGTATAACAATGGCGATGGCAGAGAGTAAAGATGGTGATGGTGGTGTCGAAGTGGGACTCGCACTAAAGAAGCGTGTGATGGATCAGTTTGCTTCCTTGTTTGCAACAATGATTGCATCTCCTTGATGTCAAAATATCATAATTTGAAATCTGGCAATTAGCTTAATTTTCAAAAGCATTAATGTTGTGCTCAATAAACTTTGAATTCATCTTGGACCAAAAAAAAAAAAAAACTTTGAACTCGTCGGGAGAATTAATTATATTCTTAGTAGAAAGATGAAAAGAGCGAGAGAGAAACAAAACAAGCTTTATATATATAATATAGGGATAATTAATCTTTTAGTTTTTATAGTATTAACTTGTTTGTAACTCAGTCTTTATATTTTAACTCAATGCAATTCAGTCTCTATAATTTTAACTCTATTATAGCTTAGTTCTTAATTAAAATGAAAACAATTGCGTGATGCCTCAGATAATCGAAATACAGCCAGAAGACTTGAAAGATGAGGATGGGGTAGTCATGGTTGCTAAGAAAATACACAGGAAGATAAAGAAAATAGAGAGAGAGAAAGGAGCGCTGGATGGAGCTGAGACGTTGTTTTCTTGGTATTCTTCTTTGCTAAATGATGAGGAGAAGCAAGTTATGGGTATAGTAGTAGCCGGGTCGGCCCGATTCGGCCTTTATCAAGTGGACTTTGGATGGGGAAGGCCTGAGAAGGTGGAGAAAATTTCAGTGGACAGAACTATAACGATGGCGATGGCAGAGAGTAAAGATGGCGATGGCGGGGTTGAAGTGGGACTCGCACTGAAGACTTAACTGACGGATACTCATCGCACTGATAAGTAGCATGAAAAACCTAAATCTTTCAAAATCAGATTTAATAATCAGAGATTTAAAATTTTGAACTAATGAATTTTAACTAAAAAATTAGTTTTTAAAAAACTTACAGTTAAGAAATTATATTTATTTTAGATTATGTACTTCTTAAAATGAAAACAATTTTTGAAAAATAAAAATATTAATAATTAAATCTTGATCGTCCATATTAAATTTAAATGATTGAGATTTGATGAGCATCACAGTAGTTATCACTATGATGAGCACTGAAACTAGTTCCGGTTCCCACCTGCTGTGTTTTCATTTGAAAAGATATTATTCCTCCAATCCTTAATATAGAATCTATTTAACTTATATAATTAGATTAAGAAAAATAGGTAAGTTAGTTAATTATGAAAATGTGACATGTTTTTTCTAAAGTATCATAATATCTTTTTAATATCCTCCTCCTCTCTTCATTGATTATGGTGGAAGAAGTATTAATGGGGATAACTTAAAAAAAATGATGAATGTGATAAATATATTTTATATTTAAGATCAAGATTTATTCAATAATTAGGTCTTATATTAAATACAGAAGAAGTACGTTTTATCTACACATGCATTTGCAAGCAGCAAATTGAAGTCTCCTGCGTGAGTTTTAAAATGAATAAAAAAACAGATTTATAGACCATTTAAGAGTTGTTTGGTTTCTTGAAAATAATTTTTTATTTTTAAAAGGAAGAAAAAAAAAAAAAAAGTTTGTGACCAAAAACCAAAAAAAAAATTATTATAATTTTTTTTTAGTTGGTTATATTAAAAAAACCATAATATGTTTTTAAAATCTAAAAACTAAAAAAAAATATAGATTTTTTTTGAAATATTCTTTTTTTTCTCACCCACCACCTGCTACATATCCGACTACCACCTACCAAATATAATTTTTTTTCAAACGTGAATTTTTTTAAAAATAATTATCTAAACATATCTTTTTGTCTCTTTATTCCAAAACTTGCAAAAAATAATTTCATAAATTTGTTTTGAGAACAATAAAAAAAACAAAAATAACACGCCCTTAATTTTTCTACCATGACTCACACAATCATTACATTGCTATAAATATAATAATATCTTTGTAGATATATATATATATATCTCATTATCTCCTATAATCTTCAATATCTTCTATTATCTCTATATCACACAATTATCTCATATTATTATTTAATCTGTAGATTCTATCAAAGATGTAAAACTGTGCCTATAAATAGAGGCCATGTATAATGTATTGAGCACTCTCTTGAATGGAATGAGAAATACTCTTTCTTGTTGATCCTCTCTTCCTCTGTATAATTCTTCTCTACATTTCTTTTTTATTTAAAACACGCTATCAGCACGAAACTCTAATCAAGGTGTGTATGATATACATTTCTACCCTAGTATAATTTTAGAACATCATGTCTATTATTTTTCTAGAGTATCTCTTACTCTGTTCAAATAAAAATATCTCAAACATCAATATAATGTGTTTTAGAGTATCTGTATTCCTATTCAATTTTAAAAAGATTATCGACCGTTGTTTTAAACATTAGGTTCTATGGCTATGATTGGAGATTTTGTTTTACTTTTTAATGCCGCAATTTAGTTTTGATATAGATATTATACCTTCTGAACTAATTATGATGAGAGGATTTTCCCCCCTCTATTTCTTGTTGACTTGACGTCACTATTTCGATGGAACTCGAAGTTCCAATAGATATTAACAGTATCCTTAAAGAGTTACTATCTAAAGTTAAATAGTCAGAAGCCATATAATTCTAAGTTTTCATCTCATTGTAATTAAATAGCCAGAAGCCATATAATTCTGATTTTTCATTCTTTTCAAATTAAATGGCTAAAAGCCATATGATTTTGATTTTCTATATTATAGCCAGAACTTATACAACTTTGATTTTTTTTTTTTAATTTTATGGCTAGAAGCCATATATACATATGGCTAATTCTCTATTTTTTTTAAATGACTTGAAGCCATATATATTTGATATTTTATCTTATTAAATAACTAGAAGTATTTAGGTATAAATTTTCCATCTTATGGCTAGAAGCCATGTATATTTGATTATTGTTATCTTATTAAATGGCTAGAAGCCTTATAATTTGAATTTTCTATTTTATGACCAGAAGGCATATATATTTAATTTTTCTTTTTCTTATTAAATGGCTAGTTGCCATATAACTTTAATTTTCTATCTTATGACCAGAAGCTATATATATTTGAATTTTTTATCTCATTAAAAGGCTAGAAGCCATATAATTTGTATTTTCTATTTTATGGCCAGAAGCCATATATATTTAATTTATCTTTATTGATATATATCATGTTGAATTTTCTATTTTATGCCAGAAGCCATATATATAATTTTTATATATCTTCTTAATGGCTCGTATCCATATAACTTTAATGTTCTATCTTATGGCCAGAAGTCATAAATATTTAATTTTTTTGTTATTTTATTAATTGGCTAGAAGCCATATAACATCAAATTTTTATCTTATGGTCAGAAACCATATATCTTTATTTTTTTTATTTTGAAATTAAATAGCTAGATGCCATGTATCTTTATTTTCTTTATTAAATGGCCTGAAGTCATATGGTTTTGATTATGAGAAGGATCATTATATGATTTGTTTATAAAAGAAAAATTATGACAATTAGAATTATAAATAATATAGCCCATAAAACTAATGACTATATAGTGAGTGATGTGTTCGTAAAAGAGTTTATCTTTTCTCTTTATTTTATGTTACATTGAATTAATTTAAAATTTAAGTTTTATTCTTATCTTATTCTCATATATTCTTGACATTCAATTTGATATTTATTAATATTATAATTTCTTATTACTAAATGGCCAGCAGCTATTACACTCATGTTATTGAATGATATGAAAATAATAACTTATGATATTTTTAAAGCCCTGAAGTCTTATGGTTCAAATATTAAGGAACACAAATTATGTTTAAAATATACATATTTACTATATATAGTCTTGAAGACTAATGACTTATAAATAGCTTTGAAGGCTTATGATTTAAATCTTTATAGCTATATAGTTTGATTTTAGTCCTTATAGATCTTTTCAAATTTTTGTTAGATTTATAAATTTATGAATAAATTTTGAAGCATTACATAATATATACAAATAAGTGAAGTTTTTGAATAACAAAATATCCAAAAAAATTTATGTTTTGAAAAAAGAATATACTTCATACTTTGAAAAAGCATAACAAGAAGTAAAGTATATCATATAGTGAAAAAAATAATATATGTTAGTTCCTGAACAACTATATATAGCATTTTCTAAAGAACTATATATAATCAAAAAATTGATATAGTTCTAGAAGAACTAATAACAAAAGGTTGATATAGTTTTTAAAGAATTAGTAATTGATAATGAAAATTATGACCAACAAACACATATATTAGAATATTTGTTTATCAAAGGGTTTTAAGGTAATATCACAATTGGATTGAAATTCATTATTATATCTGAATTAGGAAGCATTTGGATTTCCAATATGTTATTAGCTTATTACATGCTATTCACTCTATTTGAAATATAGAAATAAGAAAAATATATTTATATGACTTACACTTGAAGAGGAGATTGTTGAAATACAAATATGAATTATGTTGGATGGAATTTGTTATTATTAATATTAATATCATTCCTTATATCTTATATTCCTTTTGAAAAAGACTCCAGAAGAATCAGTAGCACTCAACCTTCCATGACTACACAAGTTTTTACTATTGGGTAAAAGATGAAAAATAACGCTCTAGAAGAGCTATATCATGATTTATTATCCTGAAGATAAAATCCATAATTGATAGCATATTCCTTATAAAATATTAAGGTGAAAAAGAATAATATGACATGGTAACAAGAAGTTTACTAATAATTGAGAATAATTTTACAATAAACCAAAAGATTATACATTTAGAGTTTGGCATGACCGGTCAGATCATCCCAGATCATAATAGTGCAAAATATAATGAACAATGTGCATTGTCATTTATTAAAAAACCAAAAGATTCTTTAAAAATGATATATAATTCAAGAATTTTTATGTGTTGTTTATTTTCAAAAGATTTAAATAAGAGAACATCACTAGCTATACTCAAAATCAAATCCATTGTAGATTTATAATGTATCAACTTTATATATGGGCCCATTTAGATACCATGTGGACCAAAGTAATGCTCTATAAGTGAAAGATGTATCCATAAAATGGTCACAAGTGTTTATGATCAACTTACAACCTGAAATTTGCAAATATGTTCAGATAATTAGATTGAGTACATAAGCTCTTGATTATGAAATCAATATGATTCTCGTTGAGATTGTTAGTAATTTTTCCTCATGTTACTGATGATTATATGCTTAGTAAAAGCTTCCATAAGTAGCTACATCAGATTTATGAAAAAAGAATTCCCATTTGAGTATTGGAATGATTGATTTTATATATTTTTGCACATAAATGCATCAAGCTAATAATATATTGTGAATTCTCTTATTATAATTGGCTTTTGGTCAAGAGTCAGACATTTTTCATCTTAGAGTGTGTAATATCTATTATTCCACTGCAGTACTGCGTATGAATGGATATTAAAAGTAAGTTGGGATCACTTTTGGATAAGAATCTCCTTATTCTTGTTTGTCTCTAAATGAAACAAAATAATGTTTCTAAAAGAGATTTATAGATTTGGGAGATCTACATTACATGTTTCCAATATGAGGGGGAAATGTGTAGCTGGAAAAGAAAACACATGGAATATATTTTCACTATCAAATATAGATTCTCAAATATAGTAGTATGAACTAGAAGTTCATAAAGTATTGCATTCGTAAAATATTACTAATATTTGCCGGATGCAATTACTGACCCCAATGAGAATTCTTAATTCTTATATTCCAGCTAAAAGTTCTCTATTTTTA